TAAAATGCAATTAGACGAAAAGCCACATTAAAACCATACATTTTTAATTGATTACAAATCAATTATTATCAAAAATAGTCCGAAAAATCAAAATTTCATCGATTATCTTCATTAATATCGATTACAATCAATTATAGTCAATACAAATCAAACGACAATTAAATCAAGATCCTATCATTTATTATCATACATAAGTCATGTTATTTTGAATAATTTTATAATCGAATTTAATCAAAAATAATCTTCATATTTTTTCGTCTAATATTTTTACATCGATTATAAGAATTAGTTTTTATTTTTTGAAATTTCAATACAGAATATTTTGAAGTACACATATTGGAATTTCAAATGTGTCAAGTATTATTTTTATACTTGACAATTTGAACAAAATATAGATATGTTTTTTACACTTGTTCTTTTTATTTTTACAGATTAAATTATGTCTTCACCATCAGCATCAGCAACAAAAACAAGAACTGAAAGTAATCAACAAATCCAACCATCATTAAAAAATATCGATAAAAATCTTCAATCTGGACCTAGTGCAAATATAGTTCTTATTGGACCACCTGGCAGCGGTAAAAATAAATTTTCTATTAAAATAAACAATAGAAATTTAATCTAATAATTATTTTTCTTTTATTCTTTAAGGTAAAGGAACACAAAGTACTCGATTAACGGAACATTATAAAATATGTCAATTATCAACAGGTGATTTACTTCGGCAAGCAGCTCAAGATCAATCATCAGCTGAAGGTCAACGAATTCGAAAAACAATGGAAGCTGGAGGTCTTGTTGATGATGATATTGTTTTGTCATTAATTGATAAAAATCTAAATAAACCTGAATGTAGTAATGGATTTTTATTTGATGGATTTCCTCGTACAATAAACCAAGGTGAAAAACTTGAAGAATTACTTGAATCAAAACAAAAACGACTCGATGCTGTATTAGAATATGCTGTATGTATTTTTAAATAATCTTATCATAGAATATGTATATAACGTCGTATATACGTTTCCTTTTTTGTTACTTTACTTCTACTTGACAATGGAATTTTTTCGTATAATTTTCTACATGAGATATAATTCGGCTGCTGAAAATTTCCGATCATTGTTTTCGAAATTTTTTCACATCCCAAAAATTGGTCGTGAAGGTTAAAGATTTAAAAAATTCCACGACAGCAGCGGTTTAGTCTATGGACTTTTATTTCTAAGGATTATGAAAGATGCCGATCGAGCAACCACACCAACTAAAATCAAAATAGGAATCTGCCTAAACTTATTCTCACCGAGTTTAGTAATTACTCAGATGTTTCTAAAATATATTATTTAAAACTTTTATTTTGCTTCAATGCTATACATATATATAGTATACCTAAAAAATCTTGCACCACTTTTTTGTTCTGAGTCATGTACTTAAACTACGCAATAGTAATTTAATTCGATTATATATCTGTGTAGTTGAGGTTGAGTACTATATATATATATATACCTATTTAATACGATGAAGTCTTGAAAATGAAATACAACAAAAAATACGGATTAGGTCACCTATTCAGAACTGAGAGAGTGTGGCAGAGCGGCGTGGATCTTCTTTTCAACCACACTTACACTCCAATTTCCAAATATTGTATTTTGTAGCATACTACATGGCAAACAATTCCTGAGAAAATTTGGCGTCTGGTTGCCCTTTTTTTCCTAACGAAGAGAATGCAAAGTCATCTGTCAGCAAATTGATTCTAATTTCTTCAAAATCTTATGAAAAGAAGATTTAGTTGATATATATATATATATCATTCGACGCGCCTTGTCTTGCTCTACGACATAATCTATTTGGTTTTTCAATTATGAATAGTTGACCTAAACCGACAGGGTGGTTTGTAACAATAATATCATTTTATCTTTTTTTTCAAGCGCTGAAGTTTGTTTTTGTTTCTATTGTATTTCATTTTCAAGACTTCATCGTATTAAACAAGTGTGCATATGTAGTACTCGACATCTACTATACAGAATTAAATCACTGTTGTGTAGTTTGCATACACGACTCAAAAGCAAAACAGGGGTGCACTAATATCATATGATATCTTATCTCTCGACATGTACTACCGGAACATTTATTAAAAGAACTGTAATGACATCTGTCAGTTAAATTCAATTTTTATTCACATGACCGGCAATAGTCGTTTTTGCTTCCGATCCCAGTGAAACCGAAATCATCTTGCCTCTATCTATTCCTAAAATTAGTGAACTTTGTTGTTATGTAATACATTCATAAATTTGAGTCAGGCTTTTGTCTTTTCACTTTGCCTTAATAAAGAATAACAAAGTACAATACTACTTTACTTTTCGATTACATTTGTTCTCTGCTGATAAGATAATAGATTCTTTTGCACTTTTCTTTAGTCTTAAAATAAAAACTTAATTTTTGAAATTTAGATTCCAGATGAATTATTAAAAAGACGTATTCTTGGTCGACTTATCCATAAATCATCTGGCCGAACATATCATGAAGAATTTCATCCACCTAAAGAATCGATGAAAGATGATTTAACAGGTGAACCACTTGAACGTCGTTCAGATGATACGAGTGAAACACTTAATGCTCGATTAAATACTTATCATAAACAAACGATACCATTGGTAAAAGATCTTAACAGAAAGAAAAAAAAAGTTTTTTTCGAACAAAATTCTTTTTTTTATTACTATCATTCAGATTGATTTTTATCGTCAACGTAATATTCATCGTTCAATTGATGCATCTAAAAAAGTTAATGATGTTTATCAAGAATCACTGAAACTTGTTGAATATTTACGTGAACAACCAATTTATAAGCCTGTATCAATTGATCAAAAACAAGACATAGTTCGTCAAATTGAAACAAGTGTAGACAAAAATGAGATTGATAATACATTAATTATAAAGACAAAACAACTTGATAATCAACTTAATGTTGATAGAAGTACTTTAAGTAAAAATTTTCTATTTGTTTACGATTCGGTGGCAAGTGTATTACGTGATCATGGTCTTATTTAAAAAATGATTCCAATTCAAAAAATAAAAAATAAAAATTATCCATCATATTATTAGACTAGCTCCTCTTCTTTTGTTTTCCTTCTGGTTCTTTTTTCGTCTGGAATGTATTTGATCGATTTTCTTTGGACTATATTATACTGTTCTGTCAACAAAAGAAAATGTAAACCTGCAAGATTGATATGTTTTTGTTTGTTACGATGAATTAATGGAAAAAATTAAACATTTTACTGTTTTGTTGTTCTTTGTTTTTTTTTTAAAGCTTAAAAGAAAGAATTAAAGATACAGAATGCGATATCAAGAAATCGAATGAAATCTTCTAATTGTACATCTTACAAGATCATATTCATCAAAGAAGTTGATTCTTCGAAGATTTTATAACATATTGTTGAAAAACAAGATCTAAGAGAAGAAAAAATTTTCTCCATTAAAATACAAATAAAACAACTATGAGATTTTCTATGTATGCTTGAAAGACTCTGTTGAAATTATTAATAGTTTAGATAAAACCATCAGCTACATAAAGAGCTCTCATGGTACAATATGTTAACGTACATACCAATCGTTTTTTTTTTGCTACAGAAATATATATCAAACTTGCGGTTAGGATATAAGTCAGAGATCGAAACCGAATCAAATAAACAGATCATTCGATTTCACTCACTAGGAGATCTCCTCAGATGCTCCTTTACCATTTCAATGATTTTTTTGTCTAGAGATACTCCATAGTGTCTTAATAAAAATCGTAAAACTAGTTTGATTTCTATGAATATTTGACTAAGATATCGAGTTTTCTCCAGTGATTCCAGATTTTTGAGAAACTCATCTTTTTGTATTTCCATCAAATCCTTTTCCATAGATAGTACACTATTGGCAAATTCTGCAGAGCATGTGGACATCATGCAAACAGATTGACAAAAAAATGCTTGAGAAGATCGATTACGTTATACTTTAGTAAGACTAATTATTATTTTAAAAACTAACAGGCAACAGCACATCAGTCAACGTAGTTTTTCACGAGGTTTCGACTATGTTTTTATTTTCCTCCTAAAATGCTTTTGTGACAAATGAACATGGAAAAACTTTAAGAAACATTTACACATTTTTACCCTCAGCAAGTATACGTGTCAGACAGAAAAAAACATTCTGTGAAAGCCTTACCGAGTTTGAAGCTGTGCTGAAATGTGTGTTATTTGAGAAAGTATGCATACTTTTTCCGACAGGAAAAGTATTAGAACAAAGTTTTTCATATAGAATGATAGAGCACAAGGTGTACTTTCAGAATTTATATAATTTATTCCTCAGATCTTTCTACTTTTTGTTTGCAAAAAAGATACTTTTCTCTAAGATAACAGAAATCGAAACACTTTTTTGAACTTAAGATTTTTCAAATGCTGTAAAGAGTTAGAATAATTTGTTGTGAACGGAAAAATTCTGTCATTGGACAAAGTATATTGAAAATTATTCAAATCACGAAAAATATCACTTTCATTTTTTCACCTCGAATAGCTCAGGTTTCTAGGAAATTACAAAGAATAATTACAACATCTTCTCTGAACTCTCGAAAAACTGTTCGATCATAAATTGAATTATGTTATGAGTCAACTAAAAATATTTACGTGTATTCTACGGCTTCCTTGGCAATATCCTGGCTACGTTCCTGATATTTATATGTTTCTTTTTTTAGTCTAATTGTCATGTTGAGTAACTATTTTAAATGAAATTCTCCTCAGATTATCAGATTTTATTAACATAATTCGTTTTCAAACCATTTAAAATAATCATTCTATGACATCTATCGTTTAACTATGTAATTAGAACATTATTTTAAGCCAATATTTGAAACACTTGTGTCATTTTTCTTTCTTTGCTTCACTTCACAATACATTTATTTCACTTTACCACCATGCATCGTTAACCATCTGTGTATTTCTTGCTTTCTTTTTCTTTTTTTGTAGAACTTAAATATGTTGGCAAAAACTTTTCTTCTCTTGTTGCTTCTTCCCTATGTAATTTCTACGCAACCAATTGAACTAACAGATAAGACATGGAAGAACATGGTAACTGGTGAATGGATGGTAGAATTGTAATTTTCGTGTTTTCATTTTATTGATTTCCTTTTGAGAGTTATTTGATATTTTTCTTTAGCTATGCAACATGGTGTTCAGCTTGTCAACATTTTAAACCAATATGGAGCGATTTTTCTAATGCCGTGTCATCGAAAAACGTTAAAGTGGCTGCTGTTGACATTGAGCAATATCCTTCACTTTCGGGGCGTTTTCATGTTTCATCCTTACCTACTATTTATTAGTAAGTATATTTTAAAAAAAGTTTGGTAACATTTTTTTCTCCTCCATTGGTTGCTATGCAATGAATTTTGAATGATATTCGCTGTGTTCTTTCTTGAACAAAGATTTTTTAATTAACTTCCAATCTGCTTGTGTTTTGGTGTCTGACATGCGTTCTCTATTCATGATAGTCGAATAAAATTATACATATATAAATTTAAGCAGTACACATATTATGATATAGATAAAATAATGAATATGTACCGTCGATTGTCTGAAGAAGTACGAACAAAGTTTGAGCTAAACAATTGTTTTTTTTTTTTATTGAAGCTATCCTTTTTTACTAAGAAATAATCTTCATCAATCGAGAAAGAGTATTTATCATATATCTTCATTGAATATCTCTCTAGAAATTTATTACATAATAATAACTAGTGGAAAGATTTATTATAAAAATTTTTTTTGCACAAATACCAACGTTTGATTTAATACTCACTTAGGTTGTACAGATTAATCGAATGACTTGATGTATTTTCATCATCATTTGAGAACGTACTAGAATGTCGATAATAGAATTGAAAATAATAATAATAGTTTTAAAAACTAATTTTTCTTTTAATCTAGCGTACGAGACGGTGCTTTTCGTGTGTATGATGGTGAACGTTCCTTAAATGCTTTAAAAAATTATATTGCACATGAAGATTGGAAAAAAACAGAACCAATGTCACCATATTCTGCTCCAGATAGTTTTTTGTATGTAGATAATTTAATTCTATTTATATTTCATTATATTTTTCTCTTTAAAAGAATGTCATTGAATAGCGTAGCTTTCGATTTATCTGAAATACTTAGGGTTTGTTAAATAGAAGAAAAAAAAGAATATACTGAAATTCAATTATCTCATAAATATTTAGAGTGCTTATACATTATTGCATGAGCAATATGGATGGCCAACATGGCTTATCTATATTCTCCTTGGTATTGCTATTATTCTCGTTGGAGCTCTCATTGGATTTGTATGTACAGTGTGCCTTTTTTATTTTATTTAATATCTCTTTATGTTTTTTTTTTTGTGTATAGGTTACAGTTGTGATTGTTGATAGCGTTATGGCTGTTATATCTAAGATTTTTAGCAGGGCTGACGGGAAAAATAAAAAAGGATTAGTAAGAAAAAAAAGAATAAAAAAGTTTTTTTTTAATTTTGTTGTAAATGTTAGGTTGAAATCGATGCAGAAAAACTATTAAAATCAAAAAAACAAGAAAATTCAACAGATACTTCACCAACAGCACAACAAACAAAAGATGAAAAGGAATCGTCCGAATCGGATGAAAGTGATGGTTCAGATGATAAATTAAATACTTCTGATGTCGTACAAGAAAAAGATGAACAAGAGGAACAAACAACAACTGATCAGACAGTTCGTCAACGTCGATTAGAAAAATAATTCTGTGATAATAGAACTTAAGTAAAACTATACGTTTTTTTTTTCTTTTTCAATGCATAATCTCGTTTAATTATATACAAAGTAGAGTACAAATGATTTATTGAACTATTTTATTTAAAAAAAAGCAAACTATTATTCTGTGAAGTCTTTATTTAATATATACTTTAGTTGTCTATTAGCAATGTTGTTTTTTCTTGTTTCGCTATTACAATAAAAATATTATGAAATAAATTATTTATTTTATCGAACTTATAATTCAGGATTTTATTTTATCAAGAAACAGATAGTGATTGATGATTTGTACCTTTGAATGCATTATGAATGAATGAATTAACTTTTTGCTTGATAGACGAAATAATTACTAAAAGATTTTTTATATTATTTCTGTTGTTTCCAAAAAAAAGGAAAGCTGTTACTGCAATTCCTGTCAGATTAAAATGTGATACACAATTTAGCTGTTATTCACACCTTCAAGAAGATAGTTCTCAAGGAGTCTGTCATGGTTCGAACTCGTCTGGTTCAAAAATTTTCGAATGCGAGCTCCGTTGATACTATGAATGAAATTTTAAATCGAAATTGAATAGTTGCCCTGAAAGATAGGAGAATTTTTTCTCCAATTTCTTTTCAATGGTATTCGATGACTAGCGCACCCTACACATTTCCCAAACAATTAGAACTCATCGCGCCAAAATTTTCGAACCTGGATTCAAACTCAATTTGGCCTTAGTGTCGCTCTGTAGAAGAGGAGGGAGTCGATTCAAATTTCTACCGTCTATACTTCAACATTCTTTTTCAATTGTGTTTCATAAAACTGAAAGATAATGATCCAATGTCGTCATCAGACAATCTATAAATTTCATAGTATTTCATTTATGTTTTGATCATTGATATTGTAATAGAGATTATTAATGACGACGACTAGTTGTTCAACATGTCATGTTAGACAAGAATCTATATGTTGTTTTAATGGCAAAAATCAATAATTTTATTTATTTATTCACTAATATAGTTAAATTGAAAATGTGCTATCAGTAGTCATGTAAAAAATGTTTAACTCTTTGTTTACGAATTTTTTCAAAGATGACAAACAATCAGAATTTGCTTATAGAAGTCTGAAAATGGATATACATGTTAAAGAAGAAAATTGTACAATTTATAATTTTCACAAAGGTTCAGCCCGTATATATAGAGGTTCGGTAACTAAAGAATTAATAAAAAAAATGACCTATCTTTTGACTTGCGCACGTAACTGGATCTGAGAATGTTCGCATATGATAGAGAAATTTTAAAAGTATTTGCATTATAAAGGAGGGGATCGATAGCTGATGAAATCGGCCCCCTCATGAAATTTGATTTCTTCTATGCAAAACTGTTACACAAGGTCTTAGAAAGCGATCAATACTAGAATTGGCCGTACTGTGGTTTTCTGTACTGTACCCAGGCTGTTGAAATAGTCAATGACTATCATAGGTATGCCATATCCGACAGTCAATGACAATTAGCTGTTTTTGGCAATGAATACAGTAACTTATTAGGCTAGTTTTCATATGGTTCGATAGAGCTTTTGAAGGACTACAAAATGGTATAAAGACATCCAGGAAAAATATTGATTGATATTACTTCATAAAGAGCATATTGCTGCTATATGTCTTTATTACGAGTATTGTTAACTGAATAATGTGTCTAAGTCAACTAATCTAATCATCCGCCAAGCTAGTTTTTATATGGTTCGATAGAGATTTTTAAGCGCTTTAAAATGATGCAAAAATATCGAAGAAAAAGCGTTGGCTGCTAAAAAAGTTCCGGAGGATACTGCTCCCCCGTCATGAAATTTGACTGCTTTTCACTAGTACTTGATTGATTTTGATCATAAAAAGTACTATTTGGATANTTTTTTCAAATTAAAGCCAATTTTATTCTTGGCCATTTAATAACCTCTAATCAAATTGAATTCATCATAAATAGAGTTTCGACTTCTCATGAGTCGAGGTATCTAATATATGTATTAACTGTGCTCTTGATTTCGCCCCATAGGTCAGTTGGTGGCTACATGGTCAATCATATTTCTTTGTATGTCATAGTCGCTGAGTTATCACTAAAATTTTGAAATATATTTTATTTATCAAAGAACTTCTTCATCAATTAATATCACATAGAAATTCCATGAGATCTCTATTGGCTGCGAGTAGAAAGTATTTTACTTAAAAAATTTCAATTTTTTTCATTTTTTCAAAAGGAGGGGGGTCGATAGCTGATGAAATCGGCCCCCTCATGAAATTTGATTTCTTCTATGCAAAACTGTTACACAAGGTCTTAGGAAGCGATCAATACTAGAATTGGCTCTACTGTGGTTTTCTGTACTGTACCCAGGCTGTTGAAATAGTCAATGACTATCATAGGTATACCATATCCGACCGTCAATAACAATTAGCTGTTTTGGGCAATGAATACAGTAACTTATTAGGCTAGTTTTCATATGGTTCGATAGAGCTTTTGAAGGACTACAAAATGGTATAAAGACATCTAGGAAAAATATTAATTGATATTACTTCATAAAGAGCATATTGCTGCTATATGTCTTTATTACGAGTATTGTTAACTGAATAATGTGTCTAAGTCAACTAATCTAATCACCCGCCAAGCTAGTTTTTATATGGTTCGATAGAGATTTTTAAGCGCTTTAAAATGATGCAAAAATATCGAAGAAAAAACATTGGCCGCTAAAAAAGTTCCGGAGGATACTGTTCCCCCGTCATGATTTTGACTGCTTTTCACTAGTACTTGATTGATTTTGATCATAAAAAGTACTATTTGGATAAAAACTAATACGATATTTGGAATCAGCACCTAAAACTGAGTAGGCTCATGTAAAATTTAAATCTTTCTATCGACTTTTTTTTTCCTCGAAAAATTCACCCCTGGTCCCCCTCAGGGTCATGTCAAAAAATCAAGTCCGTCGAAAACTTCTTTCGTCAGTCTGAATCAAATTTTACGCTTGTAAAATGGTAATAGTACGCGAAATAGCATATGCTCAAACAATAAAAGTGTTGTTTTGACGAGATTCATTTTTTGACTTGACCCTGAGGGGGACCAGGGGTGAATTTTTCGAGGAAAAAAAAAGTCGATAGAAAGATTTAAATTTTACATGAACCTACTCAGTTTTAGATGCTGATTCCAAATACCGTATTAGTTTTTATCCAAATTGTACTTTTTATGATCAAAATCAATCAAGTACTAGTGAAAAACAGTCAAAATCATGACGGGAAAACAGTATCCTCCGGAACTTTTTTTAGCGGCCAATGTTTTTTCTTCGATATTTTTGCATCATTTTAAAGCGCTTAAAACTCTCTATCGAACCATATAAAAACTAGCTTGGCGGGTGATCAGATTAGTTGTCCTAGACACATTATTCAGTTAACAATAGTCGTAATAAAGACATATAAGAGCAATATGCTCTTCATGAAGTAATACCAATCAATATTTTTCCTGGATGTCTTTGTACCATTTTGTAGCCCTTCAAAAGCTCTATCGAACCATATAAAAACTAGCCTAATCAGTTGCCATATTCATTGTCAAAAACAGCTAATTGTCTTTAACGGTCGGATATGGTATACCTATGGCAGTCATTGATTATTCCAACAGCCTGGGTACAGTACAGGCAAGTACAATAGGGCTAATTCTACTATTGATCGCTTTCTAACACCCTAGGTAATAGTTTTGCATAGAAGAAATCAAATTTCCTGAGGGGGCCGATTTCATCAGCTATCGACCCCCTTCCTTTGGAAAAGTTTTTTGAAGAGCTAAATCAAACATGAATGATGCCGTTCAAAGATTTTGATCAGGAAACTCTACCAAGTTATAAAGCGTACTCGACATAAATCTTATCGTATTATGTAGACTATATGAAGGGGAGGATGAGCCTATAAGGCTTCATCTCCATGCTACTTTCTTTTTCAGTAATGACAATTTTAGTGAGTTTTTCAATAAATTTCTTTGGCTGCTGTTAGATTACTTTCAAAGTTCGATCTTTACATAAATAAAGCTTGCTATGAGACTAATACATTGTGAAAGTTTCAAAGTTTGTGATTTATATTTAAATTTCAGAATACAAGATACTAGAAAATCTGATACTTTTACAAAGAAGTATTTAATGAAAATATATATCAATAAGTATTTTCAAAAAAATTAATGTTCAACTATCAATATTCGATTTAGGAACTGTAGACGTATACCAACGATAATATTTTTAGTCTGTTTACACCACACATTTTTTGAAGAACAAAGTCGAAAAGAATTCTCACTGTTACTTTATCAATGTTTTATTAAGAATACGTAAATAAACTCTTCAATCTAAAGTGTAATGTAGAAATTCAATGTTTGTGTTTTTCTCTCTCTCTCTCTCGTTCTATCTTATTCTAATAAAATCAAAACATAAGAAAAAAATGTCAGTGAAAAAACCTTATAGAAAAACAAACAAACAACCTTATATTGTCAAACAAAAATCGTACGTCACATCATCTCTCATGTCTACATTTCAAAACGAAAGTCAGTTTTGTCGATTACTATAAAACAATGAAAAATTTTAACAAAGCAGAATGAACGTAACATGACAGAATTTCTTCAAAATATACTAAATAAAACATAGTAAACATATAGATATATAATATACAGGATGTTACATCAATAACACTATGATAATATTTTAAAATATCTTCATCGCGTAGAACTAGATAGGCTCTACCACTTCGCTTCATCCAAATGGACTGATTCTTTTTTTATTTAATGATAGAAGGTTATTCAAAGCTTTTTTTCTTTCATACGAATAAAGTAAAATAAATACTACCAAAGTTGATCTCTATCTGTCCTTAAGAAAAAATGTATATGTAACGCTCGAAAATAATTTCCAGTGATTATCTAAGAGAATCAAAATAAACTTGATGAAGTATATTATATTGAGTCAAGTTTCACAATGAATTAGTCAAAAAGTCAACGGTTTTCAATAGTTCAAATATTCAAGCATGGAGCATTGATCTATAAAAGGAGTAGTTATCCAACATGAATAATAAACAACATAGACCTAAAAAATGTCCTCTGTATGTGTCATTGAAAAATCATTTATCAAATTGATTTTGATTTCTTCTTGTTATTCTCTTCGATAATAAATGAAAATTATCCTGAAGCGTTACATATGCACTTTTCTCATCTGAGTACAGGTAAAAATTCTTTATTGAGGTCAACAATAATAGTATTTGGTTTTCATTATTCTTATGAAGAAAAAAGCTTTGTATTATAAAACAAACAAAAAATCAACCCACCCTGAATAAATCGAAATGGACATATTTTTAATTTTTATTATAGCGTTATTGAATAGTTCATGTTATATTTAGTTTCCGAAATTAACTAAAAAGTTTCTTTTTTCTTTTAAAAAATAAACAACAAAATAATTTTTCATTAATAATTTAAAAAATATAGAAGTTTTTTATATATTTGATTATTCACTTACAAAAATTAAACAACATACCGTCCATAAAGTATTCTTTCTGATGTGCAAATAATTCATCTGTACTTCTTAGATTTCATTTCGTTTGTTATTTATTTTGGACTATGATCTTATTTCAAAGTATCATTAGAATACATTATAGACGAAAGCCAAACAAAGAAAAAAAATAATCACATATTATTGTCAAATACTTATTCGATATTTTTCAAAAGATAGTAAATAAAAATTTGCATTGATCAGGAAAAAAAAATCAAAAGTTTTCGTTATTTTAAGAGAAGAAAAATAATTCGAGATTATTGTTATTCTCTATTTTTATATTTATTCTTTCATATAAAAAATATAAATAACATTAAAAAAAAAAGGAAAGAAAAATAGTTACAGAATCAGCAATAATTCCTTTCTAGTTTCTCTTATAACTATTTCATATAATATATATCCAATCCAATCAAACAAGTAATTCATATATTTTATATGACGACGACAAATTTTTTGTTGCTCATTTTTTTCTTTCTACCTCTCAAAGAAACATTTTATATTTGAGTAACTATGTTGGATATAACATGTAACAATAAGTTTTCTTTTTTTCTTTTTCTCTATTGTATGTTTGTTCTTTTCGTTACAAATTAGAAACATAGCTGCCTTCTTTTTTTTTTTTTTGATGTGTGTATTATATTGTCACAATCAATAATACACTTTATTTCATCTCTTATAAGATGACAGCTACAACAACTACTACAACAGTTAGTTTACCAAAAAATACAACAGGACTTTTTGCTGGTGATACTATAAAAGAAGTTAAATCAATAAGAAATCAACCAATTATAATATCACGTCAATCTCGTCATACTAGTTCAACTAATCAATTATCAATAACATCTGAACAAAAAAAATCTAAAATTCAACAACATTATCCTATTGATAGAATAAATGCATTTAAAAATGATACAACAAATAATTTTTTTTTAAGTAAAAATGTTACACGAACTGGTTTTCGACCATCACCAATACGTCATCAAAAATTATATGAAACTAATTCTTCAACACAGCGAGATTTAAAAGATTCATCATCAAAACAACCATTTAATCCATCACATACTTCAAATAAATTAAAATCAGAAATTGATCATCTTAATAGAAAATTAACAACACATGGAGATTTAAATAAACTTTTACGATCTCAACAAAATCGGGTATAAAATTTTGACTTAATTTACTATCTAATATTGAAATTTAAACTAAGAAGAGAAAACAACAAAATCATAATGTAATTTATTATAAAACATATAGAAATATACGATGTAAACTAGAAGTTAATATATAAAAATATGTAGGACAGACATGCGATCGGTTCGATTTAAAAAAAATGCTACGAACTAATCCCATCTCTGAAGGAAAAAAATGCGCAGGGTAAATTTTTTTTTGTTGTACCCTGTAACCCCTGACTGAGAAATTTTTTTTTTCAACTCTTATCATTCTCTATCCTTTTCTTGTCCTACGAAGTTTTTCGCCTCACTCTCTCTTATTCCTACTCTAGTTAAAAGACTCAAAGACATAATAAATAGAAAAATAGTATCACGATATAGATGTGTAGGATAAGATTTATTGTACCCTACCTCAAGTACAAAAATATAGAAGTGTATAACATGAACAATGAGAATTTATACTGATAGATAAATGAAAAATTACGCAAGAATGGTCAGATAACTGTTTGAATTACAAGATGTTATTGATATTTTGGTGTAAACTAGAAGAAAAATTTTAAAATAATCTTATGACGTCATGGTATTTTTTTTTAATAAGTCAGAGTGTTAGAATTGTGCTGCTCGGAAACCCTTTCAATAATGCGAGAAAAAGAATAAAAACGCATATTAAAAAAGACAGAACGTATTTGACTCAATTAATACTCCTGAGTACAAATTTTTGTTCACAATAGATAAGGGAAAGTTAATCCGAGAGAAGTAAAAATCATATTACTCTTTACATTCATTAATACATTCAAATTATTTTATGAGCTTAATACCACGTCAGCAACGACTTTTTGTTTATAACCTTGACTACCTAGTAAATTAACGAGTATGAAGCAATGTTGTTGATGTACTAATGAAACATAAACCTTCTAATGACACATTATCATGTTGTTAATATTCACTATAAAAACAAAAACATAGTCTATCATTCATATTAATCATTAGACTATCAAAACCAACTTTAAAGAAAACAATCATTATAGTTTCGGTACATATTTATTCTTCATTCATTATAAAGTAGAAAAAACAACAAATTAGTAAATTTTATGTCGTAGTACAGAACTTTAAGACATTTTAAATATAATCAATGGATTTAAAATCAAATTTTTGGTAAAACATATATTTTATTTTAGGATACAATTAGTACTCCACGAAGTGCTTTATCACATTCAACATATCGTATTTCATCTGCAAGTACTAACTATATAATCGATAGTAGTCATCAACGTTACCCATCAGCTATAACAAATGGTACCATAAATACATTTATATCAAATCCAGGAACGATTGATATATCTAGTAAATCTACACAAAGTCTATCGGGTATAACTGAATCAACACCAACTATCAATGAAGAAGATAATAATAATCGACATGAAATCAATCATCAAATAACTCATGCTTATCAAATTCCACAACAATCAAATGTTGGAAATGAAAGTATTTTTCCATTAAATTCATTACCACCATCATCATTATCAAATAAAGCACATTCAAAAAGAAAAGATCATCGTTCTAAAGGAACAAAATCAGTTTCATGTCCATTCTATGTTATGTATTTTACTAATTTAGCTATTCAACAACAACATAGTAATAATAATGAAAATGATAAAACATCATTATCAATATCAGCAACAACAATAGGTAAAGGAACAACTAATCTTCGTACAAATACATCTCATTCACGTCGTCAATCAATAAAAAGACATGTTAATAGTCCAATAAGTTTGAATACTTATTCAACTACTGATGATGACGATAATGAGTCAACAACAAATGCAACATCATATTATAATAATAAACGTTTTTCAGCTAGAATTGCTGCATTTGAAAATGAAAATTCTCATTTGTTAAAAGATATTCTACGAACTACATCATGGAATCATTTACAAGTGTAAACATATGTGTCGATGTTGTTTTATTTTTTATTCCTAAAATCTTTTTTCTATGACAAATAGAATTATTAAATGATTATAATATTTGGATACATATATAGATCAAAAAGTTATTTTCTTATTTTCAAATTGTAGTAGTTTGCTTGTGGTTGACTTTGAGAATAATGTTTGATAATTGTCACTCAATCTCATTTGTTGTTGTTGTTGTTGTTTATTGGTAATATCACGTGAAGGCCGTACCATACTCGACATATCGGATGCACTTGGACGAGGTGATATGTCATATTGATCTTTATCAAATCTTCTACTCAACTGCTGTTGTGATTTCGCCCTACGCTGATACGAACAAGTTAATAATGCTGGCAAAATATATATTACTGATACACATATATCAAGAACTGATCGACGAAAATTTCCACTAGTTAATAAATATATAAAAAAATTTGCTGCATGTTGTAAATCGCTTAATTGATACATAAGTACAGCTAAAATTGTTAATCGACGAAAACGTAACCATTGATAATAATCATTAACTATTGGTTTTTTATTAAAACCATATGTAATTTCAAGTAAAAAATAAATACTATTGGGTAATGTAAAAAGAAGAAAAACACCAGCAACAGCAAGTAACATAAATGTTATATGACGATGTCGTAGACGAATAAAGTTTGCCTTTTGATTACTGCGCATTTCGATATCTTGACTGCCTGTTTTGAACGTATTCGAATGAAGTCCATTTTCAACTTAAAAGAAAAATTCATATGTTTTTTTTTTTTTATTCGACCAAGTTTAAAGAAAGATATATCAGAAAGGGAAAGAAAAACAAAGTCCAATCGTCTAGAAATGCTAAGTAGATAATCTATTTACATAATATTATTCATATATGATCAGACAAAATAGTATCGATTTTTTAATAAGTAATATGAACTGAATTATAAATTTTGGCATATTGTAATACAGAGAATATAAACAAAATAATAATGATGAATTTATGCATATAAAATGTCAGATATCTAAAGGGAATTATAAAGATAAATTGCTAAATTTTTCTTTTTGTTTTGTTTCTATCTATTAAATATATATTAATTCATTTTACCTTCTCTACATTTAATATTTGTATGTATTATTTTTTGAATATTTTGACCTGAATTATTTTCTTTTTCTCGTAATTTACAAATAATTAATATACTTAATGTTGATATGAGAATAAATGGTAAAAAACACCAAATAACAAAATCAACATAACGCCATATACGTTGTATTGAACTATAATATGACATATCATAAAAACAAACACCTTTTGTAGCATCTTTTGGATGCGGAAAACTCTTAATTGTCCAAAAATGATGAAATGATATAATACTTGTTGTAGCAAGAAGAAATATACAAACATATTTGGCTCGACTTATTGTGCATACATATGCAACTTTAAGTGGAAACCATACAGCAACAAATTTATCAGCTGTCATTATAACAAGTATCCAAACGGTTGTATAGCCAACAACATAAATAAGAAAAAAAATAAATTTACATGATATAGCATAAGCTGAAAGAAATGTTGGATAATAGACAAGATTTTTTGTTAATAAAACAAGTGGATCAAGAATACTAAGTACAAGCATAAAAAATGCTGTTGATGTTCCACGCATACGACGACTTCGTAAAGCAAAAAATGATAAACAATTACTTATAAGTGATATAGGTAATATAATCAAAGGTAAATATATACGTAAATTTTCGGATACCAACCATTCAGTCCAGCATTCCGATAAATACTGATAAGATGTTTCATTTAATGTTACACTAATATTATGACAGAAACGAGGTACATTAACCATCTAAAATATACTAATAATCATTGTATAATGTAATTAGTAATGGTCTTAGAAAAGGAGAAATTTTCATCATGAAAACTAAACCATTTTAAAAAAACAATATTCAATATAGAATCAAGTTATTTTTACGAATAAAACAGAGAAAAAAATAAAACAAATGTACTTCTTCTAGTTCCGCTACCAGTTGTACACAATAATGTATGATTTTAAACGGCAAAGCTTTGATAAATGTCATGAGCTTTTCTATTGTATGTTTGATAGTTCTTTTTATAAATATAAAATAAAAAAAAACTAATGTTGTTTTCAAATATATATAGATATATATTCCAATCAATATATTTCAATTAAATTATCTCTATCACATATTCATACTAATTCAATTAATTCTAGGTTCCAGTCTTATTGATATGGATAGTTTCTTTTGATTGATTTAATAAAGCTATTAATGAGACAGCTTACTTAACAATTTTCTATAGTTCAATACAAAAGTGACAGCTTTTTATATCATATTTCTAATAATGAAGTTATTTTGTAATCCTTTCATTTATCCAGTAACTTTTATTTTCTAGTCTATTGATAAATAACATCCGAATCTCCAGGGAAATTAAATCACGATTAATCTTTATTTAACACGACTTTAATATATATATATATAGATATATATCTACTTTAAATCTCGAAATACATAAAAGATTCTCTAACGAAATTTTCTTGGTACAATTACTTACAGATATACACAATCGTAATTATTTGAATTAGCTTAATAAGCACGTATGTTTCATATATTAACAATAATAACTCAAATAATTGTATCTTCATCTTATGAAAGAGTTAAGAAAAAACAAAAATAGACAAAACAAAAGAGATGGAGACAATCGAGAGAAAAGAAGTGTCGCGTAGGCAAAGAACGTAAAAGATAAGTTCTAGAAGAAAAAGGAAATTACTAATGACAATGTTCAATTTAGTAAAAGTCCAATTAATAGTAAATTAAATATTTTTATTCTCTTTCACATGGAATCATTACGAACAATAGTCTTGACAAAAATTAAGATCTTCTCTATATTATTTTACCGTAAAAATATTTGCCTGACATAATAAACAATGTATGCAAAAAGGCGCTGTATATTTAGTGATACAAGAATATAACTATTTAACGAGCTTGACATTCTCTTTTTTGTTTATGTTTATAAACATGACTTATTTCGTCTAATGAGAGAAAAAAAACGTCAATCTTTCTATGATAAAATGCGGAAAAGGAAATATTAATGGGTTTGGTCTAGAATTTCCTTCATATCGCCTACACAATTCGAACTTTTTCATTATAATAATAATAGTTAGATTAAAAACATGTGTGTATTGGTATTAATTTATGAAGTATTATTTAATTTTGCCTAAAAAAAAAATCCGACAATTGTTTACATCGTTATAAATATTCTATCATATTCTCATTGAAAAATAAAACAAACTTTTTTTTTTTTTTTTGTGTTTAAAATCTATTGAATTTTTATATTCAATCTCGTTCATTTTTGCATACAGTATTGTTGATTGATATTTCGATAGATAAAGTGCAAATTAATTTTTTTTGTCGTAAGAAAAACAAAAAACTTAGATCATACTTAACAGATAAATATTTTCTGCATCAATAAATCAATTTCAAAAGCAAAAACATTTCTAATTTTATCATATGAAAATAATAAGACGATTTTAAACGTTCACTTACTAATGCTTTGATAATGTCAATATATTCTATCAATATTTTTTTCTTATTAAATGTCAATGATATATGCAGATACAGAAAAATGTATCAATTTATCAGAAGAAAAAATGTTTTTCATGTTTTCTGTCAACAAGTAGAAGAATGTCAAATAAATAGACAGCAAATAACCGTTTGAGAAGTAAACAGTTGCTGTCAACACAAATGCTTTTATTAACTATATTTATCTTGGAAATACTGGAGTTGAACTTTTCTCTTTCTTATATGTTACATAGCCGATTTAATACAGTTAATTATCTATTATGGGACTTTATTAATCTGATTAAAAAAAAAACATGCATAAAACTATTTAATACATATGTATATAATATTATTTGTAGAAGAAAATCTGCTATAACCAAGAAAAAAAAAAGAAACATCCTAAATTTTGAGAGATAATAATGACACGAACAAAAAAAAAAATAGTCCAGACAACATCTGACAAAACAATTCTTTTCTCATATAAATACAATTTAATTATCTGCTTGTACAAATTTTTTCATAAGGTGGTGGACGTTCCATAAGAAAATCATCGATTGGTTGTGGTGGTGCACTTGGTTGAGGTAACATTGGATGAGTTTCCGAAGTCCATGTATGTGGTGGTGGTGCTTGTTGATAATTATATCGTGATGGATAATTTGATGAACCTGTATGAATAACTATTGGCTGTGATGTTGTAATAAAACCTGAAATTAAAAATAAATAAAATATAATTTTAAATATTTTCAAGTTTACCTTGATTTCTCGTTCGTTTATTATTACTACCACCACAACAACATTTAATACAAATACATATGGTTGTAACAATACAGCAAACAATACATAATGATACAAGAACAAATACCGTTATAGCAACCTAAACATATCATATTTATTTTATATTAAATAGAAAAATATATAAAGAATAAATCATTTCTTAAGATTAATATTGAATTAATATAGACTTATTTCGATAGTAGAAATACAATTGTGATAAAAAAAAAGTAACATTCGAACATTTGTATATCTATTGGCATCGAAAGAAAATAATTTAATACTTTTACATTAGTTAATTTTAACATAATACAAATACCTATCATGATCATGTATGTATTTGATCTAAATACTTACTTAGTTATTATAATCCATATAAGTACTGATCAGATACATTCATTATAGTTTCAATACATGACAGAAAAATTTTCTAATAAAGATTGTACGAAATAGGAAAAAAGAATTGATATTATCATCTGATTTGATATCTCTGCAAGAAGTTTACATTATCAGGATAGGCGTTTAATGCAAAATTATTATATTATTTATTGAGCACTAATACAAACATGTCTTGGCAATATTATTATAGTGAATACTTTCCATTGGTAGATGCCGTCGAATATAGACCATATCGAATCGTATTTTGATACTTTTAATGAAATTTTATAATCAGATTTGAATCATCACCTTAAAGATATGAGATACTTTTTTCTGATTCTTTGTATTCAGTGACTAGTGAATCCTAGAGATTTCTCAAGATAACGCGAGTCCGTCTGATTCAATATTTTCAGACTCGGATCCAGAATCAAACCGACGGGTTTCACCCATAGGTGAATACCTTCCTACTCTGAACTGAAACATTAGTTTTACAATTCCGATTGTTATTTTAACCTATTTCAAATGAGCATAAGTGCTCTTCTTTTTTTCTTCTCATCTTCATCATTTCTGGCAAATGCATTAAAGCTGATATTCATTAATTGCTATAACTACAGCACATCTTAGGAAAAACAATAACATCCTAATGATATATTCCATCAAAGGAAAAAAATTCAATTAATTAACGATAAATTATAATATGAATTAGCTGAAAAATTAAATCATTATCAAACAATCCAAAATCAAAGTATTATACGAAAATTAAAAGTTTTGACATAATAAAATCTGATGAAGAATTGTACAACAATATTCATCAAATTCTTATATATATATATATATATATCAAAACCAAAACAATAATCCAGGATTATGTAAAACAAACCAAATTTTTGTATTCATAAATATTCAAATGAAGGAAGATGAAAAACACAGAGAATTGTATTTGATGACTTCTAAACTGGTAAAGAATGTTATATTCTAGTTACAACTAAACATGTCTAGGAACAATATTAATCTTAGTCTCAATGACTAAGATCATAAAAACAGGAAGCTGCTACGATCACGGCTACGAGATAAACTTTTTCTAACCGGAACTAATTTCTATAATTAAATATCCTATAATTTTAAGTGAATTATCTTATAAATCATATCAATGAAAACAAACCTCAAGAGAGATAAGCTAACAAAGTGCTATTCATTGAGTGAATAAATCAAAAAAAGATTATGGAAGAACTTATTTAGATATGATATGAATAAATTCTCGAATAGTTTTCTCTAGACTGGAAATCAAGAAATTAAAACCATCCAAACCAAGGACTGGTCAAAAAAAAGTTACTGTAACCGAGACCAAAAACCTTGGCCTCAAACATCTCTAGTCTCAACAGTATGATTAAAGAAAGATTGTATTGTAATATCAACGGTAAGTCAACACTCGTATTCATCACTTTGTTTTCTCATATCTAAAAATATTTGTCTTATTAATTTTCTTTGATTAATAGCTTAAGTTAATTTCATCAGTTGACAGTAAAAATGTCGACATGGAAAATGGTCGCAAATGCTTTAGAAACTTCTGACTAGCGAAGGACATGCTATATTCTATGAGATAATACAAACATTGTAACAGAGATCAAACATAAGACAATCGATAGAAAAGAACAAAAATAACGAATGATATTTTTCCTGTTTAGTAACTGTAAATAATAAACCCTTGAAGCGTTTTATAGCAATTATAATACCGTTCACTAAGATTGTTCATATAACGTTGAATTGCAAAGAAATAGTCGATGATTCTAGTTGAATTAAATCTTGTGAAGATGAAGGGTAACTGCATCTATAACAATAGAACATTAATTACATAATAGTTCTTTGTCCGACTCATTTAGTAAATCTCTATCAGGTGTTACTCACTACTGATTATAAATCTACACTAGTAGAATTATAAAAAAAAAAAAAACAATAAACTATAGATGTTTAGAATGATCGTTTACTGGAGACATGACTTTTTTCGATATTCATTTAATTGAATACTTATTTTACAAAAAGTTGATTATCAATATATTACCTTTTTTGCCATGCCCCAAATTTCTTCAGTACTAAAAAGAAAAAGAAAACAAAATAAATCTTTAAAAATAAACATAAAATTTTCATTACAGAATTATATCATTCTCAGTTGATTAATTAGTTAAGAGAGAAATAAGAAAAAACAAGCCGATAAAGAAAAAGATTAAGATTAATAAGAGAATTTTTTACATCATATACTACACATTTTCTATATTGATTGTGCTTACTACAATTAAATATTACAAATAAAGTGGATTACATAAAGAATTCGAATTACAAAAAAAAAAAAAACGAAAATTAATCTTTATTATATTTTTTTGATAAAATACCTGTCAAAATTCTCCATTGCTTTGGCTATATTAATAACAAAATCAGAAGTTTGGATCGTTCTATAATAATAAATATATGTCGTATCAATCTCACAGAAAAACTTATGAAATAGATTTTCAAAAAAAAAGCAAAAGAGCTCTTTCATCTATTAAATTTGACTTACTCAACTAATTCCCGACGATGTCGATCTTGTGTTATTGATTTTTTAGAATTTCCATTCAGACGAGTTACTCTATAATAAAATACTTCAATTAACTTTTTTTTCAACATTAGTTTATAATACCGTATTAAAATTTTTTTAGTTGTTGCTTTCCAAGATTGATTAAGTGAATCATTCGACATAATAATATCATGTGGTTCATGTTCAATGACAGCTTTGTCTAAAGACAAACAAATAAGAAGATGAAAATTATTAAAACAAAAGAAAATCATGAAATTAAATTTTCTGTTCCTACGTATAGATGAATATTTAACTTTGTTAATATCAGCATTAATAATAACAAATAAAAAACTAATTAATAATATTAACCAATGTATAAGCATTTTGATTTTTAATCTATATAAAATGTTTTTAGATCAATCAAAAAGAAAGACAAGAAGGTCACCCATCACACCACTATTCCATTTGTATGATATTACTGCTGAACAACCAATAGGTCAGATAAAATAGAAAGATGTCAGTAGTTATAGAAACTGTACACTATGAATATTATTAGACCTTAAAAAAGAATCTATTGAGTTGAAAAATTATTTTCAGCTGAATCCTAACAATGATCACATGTCTTTATTAGTCAAAAAACAACAATAATAACATCTTAAACTAATAGATTAGAAAAATGGCGAGTGATTTTTTTTTGTGACACGGAATCCATTCCTATGTATCAGAGATAAAGTCTTAAAAAATATAATATTTGGCTGATAAAATATATATATGTTTGTTAATGAAAAACATAAATTTTATAAAAGTGGTATCAGTATAATTTAGTGTATTTCTATCTTTGTTACTGATGATGAATTGCAATATTTCAAACGAATAGCCATACGAACAACGTACATGCATATGTAATTCTTAAACAATCTCGCGTACAGCAAATATCAAATAAACACAACAGAGATTAAATCGGACCGGATTTCAGACCTGCCGGTCGCTGATCTATCTTATTTACTTCTCGCTTTCAACATATCAACTTATTCAAAACTTCTATTGGCCTATTTATAGAAGGCTATGCAATGAAATTTTGTCGACAGTTGAGCACATCAGATGATATTATTTATCTGAAAGTGTTTTTATAATGAATTCAATAGTTCTATTGTTAAAAACCTTATGGCTGCAATGAATGCTACAGAGATGGAACCAGTACGAGTTGTCCAACATCTAGAGTCGTTCCCTCTCTGAGCCTCACTCTTTCCTGTCATTCTTTTTCCAGGACTATTCTTTTTTCTCTTATTAACATTGTACAGATGATTTTTCTTCTTATACATCATTGTCTTCAGAATATTCCTTGTTGTTGATTTTTTCTCCTTATTCTATATATGCATATATAGTGATTTATCTGTCGTAATAGAAGGAAATCAACTTCTCTAGGCGGTATTAACATCTGTTCTGTTACATTAACATGAGAATTACATTTCACATTGATATGAAATTTGAGATTTATTTCTTCAAAATTTTTTAAATGAAACTATTCTTTCCTATTTATATTCAATTATTTCAATTCCTATATTTATCTTTCAATTTAATCGATTGCTAATGAATTTTATTTACTGAATTTTTTTGAAGGACTAATCATTTAAGTCATTTATTGATAGGTCATTTGCTTTACTGTTTCTATAATTATTTTACTTATTGATTGTTTATGTGATAGTTTTTTTTTCTTATCTATATGTTGTCAACAGAAGAGCAAGTTGTTTTCAGATACTTCATGATTTGTCTATCATCGATAGTTATTTTGTCGTCGTTGGTTGTTTTCTTCACATGTAAAACAGAGTCTGATAACACTCAATAATAGATAAGAAAGATTGTTTTTGATGTGCAATACAATATTACGAGCATTATATTTATGTGTTTATATATATTTTTATTTCATTAATAAACAAGAAAAAAAAAGAAAGATATCATTGTTTTACTCTTTTTCTTGTATAGTAGTAAATTGTTGTTTTTGTTCATCATTTTTATGCAATAGTTTTTGTTGAACATAATCGAAAGCTTTATAAAAAGGATTCGAAAATGAAGCTGATCGTTGTTCAGTTTTTGTTAATGGTGAATGTGTTGTTGTCATAATTTGACATTCTTGAGGCGAAGATTTTGAACGTTTTCTAACTACCTTGTCATGAAACATTGCTTGAGCCATTTTTAATGTTTTTTTGTAACTTGCAACAGGTTTTTGTCTTTTATGTTATAAGAATCTTAAAAAAAATAATGTTTAAAGAGAAAAATGCGATGTCTATTAGATAAGCTCACATATTTAGATAGACAAAGTAGCACAAGTACAACAAAAAAAAGGTTTTCGTTATTGAATTTTAAACTATTTCTTTTTAAGAAAATATTACTGATCTATTGTTTTTGTTTATTAATTAATACAGTTTAGAATTAATTGACTATTATGTGAACATAGATGCATTGACATCTACTTGAGTTGTTTTCTATTTGTTGAAATCGTGGTAAGAATCAATCTTACGTATATAAGTTTGAAGACAATTTGACTAATAGATAAGATTTTGTATATTGATTCCGAGTATTGATGTCTGTTTTTATTAATAACTATCTTTTAGTCAATCTATGAAATAGATTTTTTGAGTCTCATAATTATGACATGATTAAATGAAATTGAACCTTACGTGTCTGATTTTCTTTAATATTTATTCGAAAAAAAATCCCTAATCGATGCTAACTTTTTATAGAATATATATATAAATATATTAGGCAGTCAATATTTACTTACTTGACCGATGCCGATAGCAAGCATTGATCATTTATTTTGACAAGAACAGCACATGTCGACCCTGCTGTTTCTATAAATGGTACCAATTAGTATGCTTGAAACTAAAAAATTTCTTTTTTCAAGCAATCTTAATGATGAATGTGCTTGAATGACGAAGCTCTATATGACATTTTGGACAAGTTCATCAGTGCATTCTCTTGAAAAATTGTCTGAAAAATTTTCTAATACATTTCTAGAAAAGTCGTTTTATTGTTTTCTATAATAGATTGTCGATGTTCACAGAGGTAATGTGGATTTTGTATTTGAAAGATGGACTACTTTACTTGCAGTCAATTTCTAACATATGGGAAAGAAATCTAATTAAAGATAGTTTTCGGAAGATACTAAAATATTCTTTCGTGCATCAATTTTGCATTAATGAATGCAAAAGAATGTTCGTTTTTCTTTTAAAATAAATTCAAAACAAGAATTAATCATTTTTCATATATTTTTTTTTATTGAAATATTTAATATTTTCTATATATATATATATATATTAATTACATTGAAAAGAAGGTAATTCATTAGCTTTATGTAATTGAAAAAGCCATTTAATTATTCTTGCATTACGTTCAATAACAGTTATTGATGATGGAACAATTGTTCTTTTTTTATGTGTTAGACTATTTGTACTATCAAGTGTTGTTTGATCAGAGAGAGATAATATGCTAACACTTTCAAATGCACAATCGGAAATATTTATTGTTGAAGATGTAGATGATTGTAATGGAAAATCTAATCGATATCGATCTTGTTCATATTCATAATAAGGAGAACGATGTGATTGTCTAATAAAAACGCACAAAAAAAATAATCAAATCAAATCAAGTCACAAAAATCAAAATTTACGCTGTTCGAAACGTTGGTATTATTCTTTGATTATTGGAAAGTGTTTGGCGATTATGTAGAACTTCTTGACTTTTAACAAAAAATACTTTTGTCTCATCAAGTAATTCTGTTGCTGTACGCCGTGGATACTGTTCA